CACCAGCACCAGCACCCGCACCAGCACCACCACCACCACCACCAGCACCACCACCACCACCACCACCACCACCGCCACCACCACCACCAGAGCGTTGGCGTTTGCTGAAGCCAGGCCTTTGTGACCTGGATGCAGAAGGTCTGGTCCAGATACCTGGCCTTGAAGGCGCAGCCAAGGGCAGAGTGGCGTCACTGTTTTCTGATGTAGTAGAGGAGTGCGAGGAACAGGAGCAGAAATTCCGGAAGCATGCACAGGTGGGCAAGTCGGCCTGAACACAAGCCACAGTGAACATGTTAGGCGGGTGTCCGCTAGTGGTTGGATCGCTAGAAAAGTTGAGCATACGATTGAATCGGTTCAACGTCGTAAGTATCTCGTGCAGACGCAGGTCTTTAGACCCAAGTCTTCAGACTTCTTGACCGTTGATCAACGATTTTGCGTTCGAGAGGAGCTGCGGGCTCTGACTGGCGAATACATTGTGAAGGACGTCGTTGCATGTCGCTAGGGGTTTCGGATGTGGGAATGACAAAGAGCTGGAGGTTAGAACCCGGACAAGGTTGGACGGAGTCATTCGCGGAAACTGGCCAGCAGAGCTCTGGACTTCAGGGCTTACCATGGCATTTCGTAGCACCACCCTCAAGCTTTCTTCTTGGCCACTCCCTTGCAAAGCTACGGCTCTTCCTTTCGACGAGAATCGAAGCCTCCCAGGACCTCTCGGAGTTGAAGCTGCCCTCGGAAGCGTCTCAGGACTGGAGCTGCAAAGCCTAAGCTAAGCCAAAATAAAAAACTCCAAGGCCCCAAGGCCAAAGGGAGCCCGGCACGTGTCCTCCTTTCTCCAGGCGTTCGATCTGGAGGCAGGCTCGGCGCCGCCGCCGGAGGAATCCCGAAGCCCTGAGCGGGTCGATGGAATTCTTGATTTGTGCTTGTGTTGTGACGTCGAGTCTATCTGCATGGCACCATCTTGCTTGTTGAAGGTTTCTCTTGATTGACCAGGAAAGTTCTAGTCTGACTGATTCGTCGTCTGCATTTCATGTTGGGGTTTCGGGAAAGTAGGCACGCTTTGCAGATGCTGGATCACGATGTTGAATCCGAAGTAGTGGACAGCATTCCGGCGGAAACCCAGCTCTGGAGTGGAAGTCTCGAAGCAGGATCTGCATTGGGCTCCGACGCTGTCACCTGAGGCCGGCCTCTGCGTTCGTGTGTAATCTTAGTTCTTTGGTAGTTGGTAGCTTTGTTCTAACACCTTGTAACATGTGACGTCGAGAATACATACTTGTACTCTCGGTTCAACATGATTGAAGCGACTGGAGCAGCGTGATGTCTTGAACCACTAGGCAGCTGCTCACGTAGCACTTTGTCAAAACAGTGTCTGTGGGCCAGGATACCGCACCGAAAGACGACCAATCCATGTTCTGGAGTCTTCCGAAAGCCACCTTTCGAGAAAGGTCTCTCTCTTTTGTTTGCATGTTGCAGAATTCAGTGCGTATTTGCACTGTACACGGGTGTCCTGAATGACTTCGGAGTTTCCGATTTCCATGTTGCAGTACTGCTGGGATAGCGATCTTCTTCGTCGGGGGTTCCTCGTGCATTGCACACCTTTAGACAGTGAGGCTCCGTCATGTTATTCCATTCCAAGCAACACGGTGCTCCGAAGTCTTCTGACGAGAACTGTATTGGGTGCTCCACAGCCCGAGCCTTCCAAAGCCGACTTCGATCAACCCAAGAAGTTGCTGTAGGAAGTTGTCTATGTCTGAAGCCTTGGTCATGGTCAAGGGATTGCACGTCCTTGGGAGGTGCAGCGGAGTGTCCAGCAAGACCTGCAAGCTGTGTGGCTTGGCTACTTTGGAGTTCACTCTGCCTGGTTCAAGATCATGGGCCTAACAGACACGAAGAGTTCGGCTAATTCGCTACAAAGCTGCTGGGCCTCTGCCGAACAGCGGCGCAAGGTATGGCTACAATGCCTTCTGAGCCGTCGCGCAGAAAGCAATTTCTGACCCGTGCTTGTGGCCGATCCTTGTATCACCCGCAGGCTTAAGACTTGCGGCATCAGTCACCAGAAGCACGACATGATCAGGAGTTTGTGCGGTCTGGCGGCGCAAAGGTGAGTACAAATGCAGAGCTACCACATCCAGCTTTGTGTTCTGTTGGGAAGCCGGTTGCTTTCACCTCTGCCCGTTCTTCTGCACATGTGCAGATCCTTCCGTTCATGTTCGGGTCTCAATCTAGCCACAAATGATTTTAGCAACTTTGCCGCCGGTTGAAGGCAGAAGCTGACGCATGTTCAGCCACCACCATCAAATCTCCGGTGCGCAAGGTTGCCATGGCCAATAGCCGAATAAGTCGGTTGGCCCGTGCTGGCAGCTGTCTGCTCCACTTGGGAACGGATGGCGCAGCTTTGATTTCACACTGTTCACACCGGCAGTGGGCCAGGCTCTAACAGCCTAAATCAGGTCCGGATGCTTGGATGGTTGCTATTGGCAGCCTGAGGAAAGAGGTAGAGAGCATATTCTTTTTCATTAGGTCTTCTTCTTCGGTTGGGCACTGCTGCTTCAGGGCACCCAGAACCCACAATCTTAATTTGATCTCTCGGGGCGAAGGCTGCAAGTCCAAGTTTTCTTGGCGGTTTAAGTTGAGATGTGCTATTTTCGCCACGCTGCCAAACACCCTGCACATGAAATCCCAAGAACACAAGCCTAAAGTCTCGTCACTCGAATTGATTTGGCAGGCCTCTCTGCCTGCACAGCGCGGCTTGGTATGGCCCCCTGACGGTCAGAGCTGCTGGAGAGGATTACGAGCGGTCCCCGGAGCCTAATGTTGACCATCGGGTTTTTGTCAAAGCTTTCCGTCATTGTTTGGCTTCCATCTGGCCCCAGTGCAGGCCCCAGCCTCCAATTGGAGAAGTGTCAACGGAGCTTTCGTATGCTCGCGGTTTGCCAAAGAGAGTGGGCTAGCACACTCCCAGAAGCTAGTGCAGCGGACACGCACAACCGCGAGCTCAAGCGATTCTGGCATCCCGTTCCTTTTCGCCAAACGCCTGCTGCAAGGTTGCTGGGGACCGGCTGACGGGGCCTCGCGGCTCTGTTATCAGAGTAATGCAATGCAAGAGGCACAACGTTTGTAATACGGCCTGTGCTTGTATCGAGCTCCACGGCTTTCCTCTCTCTTTCCGTGCTTAAACATGTACACCGATTTCCTTTCAAGGGTAGACCCATGGGGTGCAGAAGCCTCCATTGTTTTTGAACTGTGAGGTATTGCTCGGCGACAGATTTCACCATGCGCTTGACGATCGGCTACTTGGTGGGCATGCATTGCCTCCGAGCCTGCGAACTGTGAGCAGATTGTACTGTTAGTAGGCCAGAGCACAACAGAAGTCTCTTGGGAAGCGATGCGCGGGAAACCGGCGGCGAGTTCGCCCTCGTGTGCAGGATTTGCTCATGCGCAGTCCTTCCCGCAGACGCAGGACGAGACCGGAATATCCGGCTTCGTGGGTGTTTCTGCGCTGACTTTTCCACAACATCATGCATTTCGTTTTGCCGCAGGCTACATTCATGCTACGTTGCGGCAGGCTTTGTGCTAGGCCACCTGAAGCCACCGCTCTCAGAGGATCACCACACGGCCGTGCACTCGCTGCCGGTCGATGTTGTGGCTGCTGCAGTGGTGGATTTGCTGGAGCCTGGGCAAGCCAGGAGGAAAGGCGGGAGGGTTGGGCGATATTCCGGGCACCAAAGTATCTCTCCCCAATCCAAGGATTCATCCATGCAGGGGGCCGCCAACATCGTGCCCCTTGGCTCGGCTCTCTTGCTACGAAGCAAGGGCCCTTTTGAGGACATCAGAATGCAAAACCAGTCCCGAAGCCTGCAAAGTCTTCGATGCTTCAGCAAGCTTGCACAACCGAGCACGCCGTCCCGCCGAGTTTCCACCAAGGGTGGTAATATTGACGCACCGTCCTTTAAACACCCAAGGAGTGGGGCGCCCCTCCTGCGCATGGCAGAGCTGCAGCAATGGCTCCTTGATGGAACGCGGATTCGGGTGAAGCCTTCGAAGTGCTTGCGCATGGACGACCTGCGCGTCAGTTCTACGAGAGCCATGTGCACAACTCCAACAGTATTGAGCCCCATTCTGTAGCCCTAAACCCTCTTAGAGCTGCTGAGGCCCGGGCAGCCTCCGACCCTTCGACACTCTTCCTCCACACTTCTCCGAGGCTGCTTCGGTCGGAGATGCCCGAGTTCAGCCAATTGCTCGTGCTACCGTTCCCGGAGTGGATTCGAAAAGTAGAAGAAGAGGCCAGCTGTACCAATCGGTACTCGTGCTTTGCTTGCTACATCTTTCTTCTAGGCGAATCAGTAGTGTTTCACGTTGACTTGGATCCAGGGAGTCCTACAAGGGACCACCTTGCACCAGCTGTTGTATTGATGAAGCGCTGGTTGTCTCTCGTGGTTTCTTCGACTGCCCTCATGACGGCAACAGCCTTTGTCCATACACGCGTAAACTTGACCGTGGACGCCTTGGACAGTGCTCTGTTTTGCGTCTCGTGAGGCACAGTTGTCCGCGTGGCCGGTCATCGGATGGGCAAAGGGCCATGCGGAGTTTCCGGCCGCTTGCATCGCATGTGACGCACGGCTGTGAGGCTTTGGCTTTGGAGGCTTTTCAGACGAGACTGATGGAAGCTGGGCCCGTTCCCATCACTCAATCATGTGGAGCAACTAGATCAAGAAGTGACAGTGGCTGTAGATCTCGCATTCTTTGTCGATCGCAGGTTTTCAACACACGGTGCCCGGAGCTCAACGCTCCTTGGGCGCGGCAAGAGACCCTGGAAGGTGCAGTGGGCGCTGAGGGAAACAAAGGGCGAGAGGGCCTGCGAGTTCAGAGGAAACCTTCTTAGGTCCTGTACAGCTAATGCAGTTTTCAGACACGGGTCCAGGACGAGTTTTTAAACAGAGGTATGAAGAAAGCCATGCTCCGGATGGAGTCAGGAAGCCACATTCAGGAGCCCATTCGAAGACAAAGGCCAAACGTCTGAGTCTGAAATGTGAAATGTCCAGAACCTGGAGGTTTGCGCCGCGGCTTGGATGAGGACGTGGCCCGTCCATGCGCACACTTGGTGGCTTCAGTGTCGTTCATCGGACTGTGCCAGAGAGGGGCCACTGTTGCCTGTTGCGGTGCAGCATGTCTTCCCACCTCGTTTTCCATCTTCGCCAGGCCGTTTGCAGACTGGGTGGATATATCGTTCGTGAGAGTGGTGATGCACCCACCGTCCCTGCAAGCCAGGACTGTTTCCGGAGGATGCTCCGCTTCATCTTCGTCTCCGTGCCCTGCCACGAAAGCACGGGAGACTGCCAGGCAGTGAATGCGGGAGGTGATCGATGCTTCAGTCAACAGTCACACCATTTGGGACTTCAGGAATGGAGTCTAGGCCGTCCAGGCGTCAAACATGCCTTGCATCTGCGAGATCGGTGCTTTTTGTGTCTTAACCAGATGGCCACATCGTCGAGTGACGTTGGGAATTTCACTCTTCTTTCACCCTCGAACCTCGGGACTCTGTTCTAGACCCTGGCATGGACTTCGAAGAAACTCCTTGGAGACCCAAGCCTGTTCACACAGCAATCCGAGGGGCCTCTGACACCAAAGTCACCGCGGCGGTCGCTTCGGGCAGTCGTGGCTGCAGTGCCTCGGATCTCTATGCGTTCCTGTCATTTCATGATGTTTCGCTATGGCAATCAGGGCGGGGGCCTGCAGCTAAGCTCCTGGCCGTAGACCAGGACACTACAAGTAGGACTCCACCGCAGGACCGAATCAGGCCCGAACGTAGCGGGTCCATGTGTTGAAGGCATGTGCCACAAGCGAAGAGCAAACACTCCGAGGTCGGAGCAGCTCGCGCCATGCGGCTGGGGTACTGAGTGGAAGTCAGACTGGCTTCCACCACGCGCAAACCTGCAACCGTGCGGGCTATGGGGAGCATCGTCACGCAAGAGTCTCGTTTTCCACAAGCGCCTGCCACGGCATCTCCCGTTGCCTTGTTCGCATCGGATTCGGCTCACGTGGACCTGGCTTCAATTGTGGTCAGTGTCTGACGACGGACAGCTTGTTGACAAAGCTGCGACAAGCCGTTCATGGATGTTTGCCAACGATCGACCGCTGTTTTCGTCGCGTTGCTTCGCTCACCTTTGGAAGAGCCAAAAAGGTGTATTTGGGAGCAGACATGCGCGTTGGCCTGCATGTGCAGCATTGGCCGAGGTCTTCATCCGACAGCTGTAAGCTACGCCATCTTGGAGAGGACTTGGGTTTCATTGTAACACATTGTAACCACATGTACCAGAATTACCAGAAGCCAGCGCAGAGTGGCGCAGGAATCCCTCCGAACAGCAAGAGGGGTGGATACAGCTGACGGAACATCAATACGACTGCTGTTGAACATCCAAGCGTGTGCAAGCGATCCATAGAATTCAACAGTCTCGACTGTTCTCCAACCTACAGGTTGCCCTCCGTCCAACATGTAGCCACTTCACAGAATTGCGACATACGGGTGGAACTGACAGTGTCACACGTTCACAGGAGTTTCTGGGACGCCGAGCTCCGCCACGCCCTGCGCGCGCGGCTACGGGGTGGACTGGGAGGGCGCTGCCATGCCAGGACCTCGGCGTGTTGCAAGGTGGGTCTAACAAGATGAACATTGAGGGGTGTTCGGAAGTCGGTTTGTTTCTGAGTTCTTCAGGGCGCGGCAGCATCCGAATGCTTGGACATGTGTCTCCAGGATGTGTAGAGATATTGATTTGGGGGACCGCGGCGGGTGCAAGATCGGACGTTGGAAGGGTCAGACTGATATCAACGCCCGCGCCCTGAGACTTCTGAGGATGACAGCCGTGTGGAATTCCTCCTGAGGACCCGGAGTCGGTGCTTGTGTCACGCAATCGTGGCAGAGGGTGTGCACGTCCATAGGGAACCTATGGTGGTCATGCGTTGAAGAACCTGTAAGACTTAAGCTTTCTTTGTGTAGCTGCGGGTTAGTTCATGCCAGGAATCGCGACAGGCTTGGAGAGATGGATTGGGACCGCCTCTCACAGGCATGGGATTTGTGTTGAAGGGAAGCTGACGGACTTCAAGCTGCGCAAAGTCAGTTGGCGATGACGATGACAGCGAGGAGGGCAAAGATGATGGAAGTGTGGTACCAGTAGCTACTTTTCGTGACTTGCGTGCTTGAGGGCATTGTGGCCCAGAGGTGTGTGTGCCAAGCGGGAATGTCCAACTTATGCACAGTTCACCTACAGCAAGCTGCAAGCAGCCAGTGCTTGCCTGTTAATTTTTTGGGTTCGTTTGACTGCTCCGTAATTACAATAGCCATGGCCTCGCGTGGCGAGAAACGACCGCTGAGAGCACCAGCAACGCCGCAGGCAGGAGCTCCCGCTTGGGTCTCATCGCTGTTTCGCACAGAAGACCGGAACTTGTTGAGGCTGGGAAACATGGGAAGCTTCCGCAGCTTCGCAAGCGGCTGCCACCGGCAGTCACGGGTCTTCGCCTCTACGAGACGCTGTGGCTTTGCCTTGAAGCCTCCAGAAGTTCGAGTTAAGGCCTCAACGGTTCCGGATCTTGTGCCGAACGGTTTCTGTGAACAAGGTGGTCGCGTTTAGCCGTTCGAGGCCTACCACGGAGAAGTCTCATTCCTAGCGGACAATGTAGACGGATGCCTCACATAAAGGAGTCTTTTAAAGAGCCTCAAGCGACGTCCCTTTTCTAGTTTCAGGTCCACCGCCAAGCATTGAGAGTGATCTGGTACTGATACACTAAGAACGGCTAGCATACTTTGAGAGAACACTTTTGTCTTCGAGGCACCGGGAGTACGCCAAGGCGCTACAAGAGGAGGTGCTACGACCGCGTCTTTCATTTATGTTTCTCAGCAATGCTGCATGGTTGCTAAAGATGAGTAGTCTTGTTGCGACAGTGAGATAATCTTCGCACACGCACTCTGTCGACTTTCTGTGGGCGGTGGTTCGAACTGGGCTTTGTAAACAGGTGGGGGATCTTTCAGGCAGTTGTGTTTGATCCGCCTTGCATCTGTGATGCTAGCCGAGGCAATGATCTGAACTGTAAAGCACTGTCGTGACTTGTCCCGAAAAGCCTGCAAAGGCCGTCGAAACACGCATACGCAGCTCTCACTTGACAACTGAAGCAGCCGTGCCGCATTGGAGCATCGTGGCAGGGACTGACAGTGGCAATGTCGCGCGTCGCCGATACGGCTTCGGAGAAGCCACCTGACGGGAATGAGCTGCAGGCCACATTGTCCAAAACAACCATAGTTGAACAGGAAGTCCGACAGTCGTTCTCGACTACAGTGCAGGATGTCCGATGCCCGTTCTGTCTCGGGATGTCCCGAGTGGCCAATGACGACTTCGTGCGGGCACTAGAGTCTAGTGACTAGACGCAAGGCCATGCAGTCACCCCCCCCACGGACGCCAGGATTCCTGACAACTTCGGCCATGGTTGAACCCTCCCACGCGTTTCGCCCGCTTGTGTGACACAGGGCACAGGGCAGGCAGTTCTTTTCTGGGAAAGCACGCCAAGCTTTTTGAGAGAGTAAATGCCGAACCTTGGGGCTCAGGTATGCAGAGCTACACAGGACAGCGCTCGAACTCCTGAGGTGCCCGGCAATTTTGAGTTCGGCAGGGCCCGAGGCGGCAATTTCCTTCTGCCAGAGCTAGTCCAAGTTTCCAGTCTTTGGTTGGGCGAGGTGAGCTTTGCAAGCCTCCCCTCTCCCGCGCCCTCTTTTGACATGTCATATCCCATGCAGCAAGCATAAGATCTCTGAAGAGGTCCGTGGCCAGCCGCCATCGCGAGAGTGGCAGCCGATCGTCGGCCAACTACGACGTGCTCATTTTCCGGCGCCTGAGTCTTTTTTGTGATCAGCTTGTGTTGATGTTGTTGATGGTGATGGTGGTGATTTTTGCTAAGCGGCCCCATTTCATCCTCGTTTTGCCCTCAGGACTTCCAGGTTTGCCTTGTTGCCAGCTGTAACTACAGCAATCGAAGAACCTCTCGAAGCCCGCGGGGATTTGGGATGCTGGCCAAAACAAAGTCATTACGTTCTCTGGACGTTGAAAGTGTGGCAGACAGCACTCGGGCTTCCTTGCCTTGCTGAAAAGAAGCAGTTTCGTATCAAAGGCTAAATTTCAGGCTGTGTGTGCGTAGGAGCTAGGAAAGAGTTCAGGTAAGCAGGCGAAGACCGTGCTGATCTTTTTGGGACCTTGACAGAACGCGAGCTTTCTTGCTTGGCCAAGCCGAAAAAGTCTCGCGTCAAACGCAAACGATTTCGCTACAAGGCTGGTACTTGGCTCATGGACTCAACATGTCCATGCTGCCTGAAAAATTCTGCGATTGCTCTCCCAAATCGGCGTCGCCAAGGGATGGACGGATGGATGGACGGACGGATGGAGGGATGGATGGACGGATGGACGGATGGATCGATGCATGTACGGATGTGTTATTTATACTATTTCTGTCGACACGACTTTTCAGATACATGAGTGCACTGCATGGGAGCATGCATACATGCATACATTTCTGATACACAACTCATATCAATACGTTCCTCGGCTTGTCACGCGCTTTCGGGTCACCCCTTCTCTAGTTGTTTATGATCAGGTGGTGTTGATGCCGTTGATGCTGATGGTGGTGATTTCTACGAAATCTCTCCAGCTCCCTACGTCCAACACGAATTGTCAGTGAGCTGACCTACATGCTGCCAATGACCTTGTCCGAAATATCCTGAAGAAATCAAGAACCTGGTTTGAAAACTCACCAAGGGGAGAGGCTTTCGGCGACCGGCGCCGCAACCTTTCAGTGCCTTGGTAGGACAGAGGACACCGGGGCTGAAGGTTCGACGAATGTATGGCTCGCTTGGTGTATGGGTGAGCTCTCGGAGCAATTTTGAGCTTGCGGTTCTTCGCGAACAGTCTGAGTCTGCATATTCAAGGACTTTTGCCATTTGGGATGTACTGCAGATGCACGGCATCGTCAGCATTGAAGGTGTTCGGCATTGCTGAAACCAGCGTACCTGTCCCGTCAATAGCATTTGTCCTTTGCCAGTAAGGTTTGCATGCGAAGAAATCGAGATTGGGACAACATTCGAGCGAGACAAGTCTCATGTTGCATGCTGGAGTAATCAGTTTAGTGCGAGCCGAGTCCACACACACAGCACAGGGTTTTCAAGACACTTTAGATTCTGTGGATGCTTGGCCCCCTTATGGCGAAACGTGTAACTTGTAGCTCGTTTCACGAAGGCTCAGTTGAATGTGAGCAAAAGATAGCCGCAATCATGTTGTCGTACTTGAAATCTGGTTGGTGAAAGGTGAAGATGGATGATGCGCGTGCCATGGAATTTCAGTTCGTACTTGCTAGCATGATGCAGCCACGCTTTGACGGAAGTTGTGTTTTAGGTGCGTCTGGCAAGCCTCCGCCGACGCCGGGGCAAAGTGCGGGAGGCAGCGCAGCGATGATGGGGAGTTTGAAGCTTTGTGAAGTTCTGCTATTGGGAGGGCGGGCCGGCCCAAAACAACACAAAGATTTGCAACATACGGCTTGAACCCTGTGCATTCCAAATGATTTGGCACTATTCCAATCGAAGTCCTGTCTGCTGCGTTGTTCTTCTTGCGCACTCGTATATACGCGCTTGAGCATGCGAATCATGCGCTAGTTGCAGGCCCTTTGCTCCGTGTTGGCAGCGCTTTGCCCGGAGCCCATGCGTGGCTTTGGGGTCGAAAGGTCTGTAGAGTTCGGGTTTGCAGACTCTTTTGCACTCATCTCGCAGGCAAGTAGGATCAACGAAGTACATGCAAGAGCTGCTGAGCACAGCCGCTCACAGTGTTGAGGCTCTTGCAGCAGGCCGGACATGTGCTGCGCTCCGGAAGTGTACCAAGCAGAATCACGCAGCTGAAGGTCTAGAACCGTGGTATGAATAACTAGATCAAGGCCTAAGCCCGTCACTGCCTCACTCTACAGGTTGCCGCTTGCAGAAGAACTGGCTCGCGGCGTACGACGAGGAGGCACAGAACGCAGAGAGGAACTTTCGAGACGCCAAGCCCCGCACCGTAAACCCAAGCAGCTGGTTGGATGCGCACCCTGCTCGTGGCCGATCCGGCCTGTCTTGCGCAGGAGCCGGTGCGTGGCTACTTTGCCCATTCTTTGGTCGAGGTCTGGAGCATTCCTGTAGCCGGGATTCCGTGTGTGAGAGCCTCCAACCCAGACTCCTCGACAACTCTGCCTCTGAAGCCTTGAAGGAGCACCCCATACCCCACTCTGTGAATCTACATCTGAAGCTCTAAGACCTTGCCAGTTCCTGCGGAGGCGAGCTCTGTCTTCCGTGTGGCCCTGCGCCCCGGGCGCCCGCTCCGCCAAGAACCCAGCATCTCTACACATCTAGCGGACCGGCGATTCACAGCCGAAGCGCTCCCAAGACCCTCAAGCTGACTCAAACTGAACTACGAACTGAACGTCCGCAGTCGCCCCAGGCCTTGCCTCACTCCTGATCTATCAGGACTGGAAGGGTCGTAGTGGAAGTGGATCCTGTTTCCAGCAGAAACTATCCCGACTGCATCCAGCCCCGTGCATGCTGCATTCCTGCGCAGGAAAGAGCTTTGAAACGGTCACCGCCGTGTCTGAAGACAGGAGCTCCCGCTGGCACAAGCGCTGGCTGCCATGGACCACGGCGGACCCTTCCCTGAGGCTTGAGCCAGGGTGTCACCTCGTTCGGGTGTGGGGATGGCGAAGGCACTCGGGGCAGACGAGGGGTTCGCATCTGAGCTCAAGGGTGTTGCAAGGACGGGGACGCCTTCTTGTCATAATTTCCATGTCTGTCCAGCTTCTACACGACTTGTCTTTTTGTTGTGGCCGATGCAATGTCCATGTTGCTCTTTTCGGGAAACCCACAGGGCCACGAGAAGGAGCCAATCGGCGAGCGCCGGTACGGCTTGTCCGAAGCTGAGCTTAAGACTGAGTGGAGACATGCTGCTTCTTCATGTGCTGAAAAAGAGTCCCGAAAACAACCCTTTGGATGGCTGTGAAGATGTCGTCGGCAGCTCTGGAGACAGGCCCCGATCTTCAAGCCATTGTGCAACTGGTCGTACGAAACATCCGCAGGAGCATTTGGGAATGTATTGCCCGGAGAAAATGCGCAAATGACATTGCTGGTGATGGGCATTCGCTTCAACATCCCTCACGATATCCGGAGAGGACTCCCTCGATGCCTCGCAACAATACTGGGGCAGCCCGCTGGCTCTCGAACACTTTTCTTTCGTGCGTCTCTGCATCACTAACGATCTGATCATGAAACTTCTAGTATCTTTTTGAAGCGCTGCCGCTGACGTAAAGATGTAGGATGGCCACGGCACCGCATGGACGCTGTCTTGCGAAAGTGCGGAGCTGCGGCCCAGGCAGCGCGTTGGGGTGGAAGGCTGCCCCGGTGAGGCGGCAGCAAGGGCTTCGTTTCGTGCACGTCAAGAGTGGAGCCCCTTGTAGCTATCTCAGAGTGTTGTGCAGGGTGAATGATGGTTTTGTGGCACCCATCTCAATATGATGCGTGGGCAGTAGCACATTTCTGCACTTGCACAACATGATCGAATCCGGGTATGGAGCATAGGAACAAGGCACGTCTGTTGACGGCATCTTGTGCAGAGGCAGGTATTCTGTCGATCTGTCAGTGCTGCTGCGATTTTGAGTCCCCAGCCACACAAGTAAGCGTCAGACAGGAGAATGCGTCATGCTGTGTACCGACAGTGCGAAAGCGGTAGACAGAGTGGCAGCATTGCCAATGAGGGCATCAATGCATGATCTGATGTAGGTACATGCAATCCACAAACTTGTGGGCATGTGTCCAGGTGCATATAGCATGCTTCATATCCGTACTGACACCTGCACATTTGGGCATGGTTTGCATCTTCGTTGTTGGTTGTGGGATTGTCTATTTATCTATTTGTGTAGCTATGCATGCCAACTGAAGCCCTGTCGCTATAGACTTCCGTAATGTGCTATTTCGAAGGGCCATGGGGTCTCCTTTCTTCATTCCCTCCCCACAGCAACTCCGTACTTTGCAGGAGCAGAAGGAGCGGCTCTGCGACGTGGAGCCCGAGGCTCCGAGTGGGAGTTGAGGAGTAGGAGGGTTTGGGCTTTTGGCCTCGGGTTCAATTCCGAGGATGAGTGTTGCGTTTTGGTGAAACCCGCTTTCGGCGCCCTCCGCATGCGTAGATGAACCTTATCCGGATCCTGCCCAAAACTTGGAGGCCCGCATCCGCGATCTGATGAAGTCGAAGGCCGTTGGAAGGGACGTGGAAAGATTTTGGTTATGGGATCTGTGGTTGGCTGGTTCATGGCATGATGATTTGAATCCATCCACAACTTTTCTTGGCTCGTTGAGATGCCTTGCTTTCGAGGCCTTGTGTTTTGGTTGGTCTGATTCCCTGCATGGTGCCGTGCATGGCTTCATGTTTGTCGCATTGCTGGCACGAGACTCAAGGCCCAGGCACGTCGCAGGTAGCGGAAGTGAGGCTACTGGTAGTACAGCCAGTTTGGAGGAGGTGCTGCCAAGAAGTTTGGTGTACTGGAGTTGCGCAGGCTCCAGTAATTGTCCTGGACGTGTACTGTGCGCTGGCTCCGAAGGACCAATGCCGCAGACTTCCCATCCGTGTACAAATGCTGCCCGTTGATTATCACTCCTGACCCGCCAGGATCACGCCAAGCGCCACAACCTGGGACCGGTGGTGAAGGCAATGCTGTGTGGAGGGACGTGGTCTGACTGGCCTCCTAAACATTGAAAAGCACATATATCTTGTCTGTGGCTCATGCCGGCGTCGCTATCAATCTATCTTGACTGTTTCTAGTGCCTTGGTTCAAGAGGTCCACCGTAGCAGCCGAAGCCCTGTAGGTGCTTCGCCCCGCAACCCTAACCAACATCCCTGACCGTTCTAGAACCAAGCTTTCAACTATTGTAGGCCGAGCTTGCAGCGCTCTTGCGCCGGAGTCGAGATGCAGGCGAGGATGCCTTGTAATTTGTGGCCAAAATTGGAAAACTAGCGATGCGTCACGTTGCATCAGAGTTCCAAACATGTGGGGTTGCAGAGTCTCCAAGGAGGCTCAAGGAGGCCCAAGGACGTCCAGGATGTGATTCTTTCCTAATGATGCGGTGACCTGCAGCTGTGCAGCCGGCAACATGCACACGATGCTAACTCGTTCGCTTTCAGTGTGTATCAGGCGTTCGTATGCCCGCCCTCATAGGAATGGCTCATTGTAGATATATCAGTGGTGTAACGGTATCTACAGTAGCAGCCACAATTGCAATCGTATCTCTATTCGACAAAGGACAGGCTGTCCTCTTCCTGGTGGGCGGCGAGCGCCCAGCCCAGCTGGCGCAGAAAGTGTGCGGGACTTAAGCTTTGCACAGCATTTCCAAGCACCGGACGGATGAAGCTTTGGGCTGGCTGCTGGAACATCTTTCCTCATATCTGTATATATATATATATATATACAAAATATTATATTATATATGTATATATATATATATATACATATACATACTCCCGCCTGAGCTGATTCAAGGTACCTGCAGCCACGTTTCACTTCCATTGGCGGCCTGATGTGCGGGTGACCTCGGGGGTCATGTGCGGTTTAGGGCTTGCTTTCGGGGCTGGCTGGCTACGTGATGACGGGGGGGGATGAATTAGGTACAGCTTGTTAGAGCTCACCGTGCTGCGCCGGGTGCTCGAGCGGTTTTCGATTCTTTGTATCGCCCATGCGGCTGTGTGGGTCCAGGCTCCCTTGAAGTGTTGATTAGTGATTAGTGTGGGTCGACAGCGAGTGACAAGAACCAGCCGTAGTTAGGCCCATCTCGTAACAAGACACGGACATAAAGAGAGACAGGGAGAGCTTGCGAGCAGGAGGGGGGGTTCTGACCTCTCCTTTGGCTGGGTGGAGGGAAGGGAGGGAGAGCGAGGGTATTTCCCTGCAGTTCTTCAAGCGTCCTGTTGCCGCACTGCGCAACGCAAGGGATTCAGCCTGCCGTGCTCTTGGGCAGGTATCTCCGCTGGAAGCCCGATGCTTCAGCACCTTGGGAGCCGCCAAAGCTGCAGGGCCAGCGGAGGGCCCTTCGGCTTTGTTTCAGATTGTGCTTTCTGTTTGCTGTTGACCTGAATTCTACAACGGTGTTCCCTCCCGGTCTTCGTCTTGTGAGGCTTGTGCCTATGATGAGAGCGCTAACTGTCTTCTTCTTCCCTTTGTGTTTTATATGTACATTTTCTATATATGAATAGATCGTGAGGTAAGTGTAGGTGGGTCCTTTCACTGGAATCAATCCAGTGCACTCCTAGCTGTCGAGTCACTGCCACAATGCCTTGCGGACAAACCTGAAGCTTTCATGCCAGATCAATAGACCCATGGTATCGCAGGAGCGAACTCCTCAAACACGGGTCTGCTCATGCGCTGCTGAGATCATCTTTGGCCTACAATTGCCTTGAAGAGCTTGCCACGATGACGCAGAACTGAGCGGGACGGTTTCGGAACAGGGGCATCCTCTCTCGTATGGTGGTCCATAATATTCTTCGTAGACTCGGGGTTTTCTAAGTTGTGGTTGTTGGTGAATCTCCGCTGAAGGCGTTTGTGATTGCACCGAGAGGTGATGCTCCTCGGAAGTTCCCGCCGGTCATTCCTCTGGTCCAAGAACTTACACCCTTTCTTGCCGTAAACAGGCCACCCGAATCCCGCATGAACGCCAGCTCAGTCTCCCAAAGCCCTGCTTCAATTCCTTTGCCCTTCGGGAAAGCGGCTGCCCCGGACTTGGACAGAAGGGCTAGGTGAGCATCTGCCATTAATTCGACAGACGTCTGATGGTGCTGAGAAGCCCACTTTAAATTCGATGCTATGCCTGACTTATGGTTTTTTGATTAATTCGATTCAGCGGACTGCTCGGCTGTTTCCTGCGCCTAAATGACATTAGCTGGGCCGCATGCACGTCTCTCAAGTGCGAAGTACATGCGCGGAAACTGCCCTGCAGCCTTCCAGGGGTTGCCATGTGGTGGAGGTCGCCCCCTGGGTCTGTTGTGCTTGGTGCCAGGATCTGTGGTCCCGCTGCTTCGTACTGATTGTTAGAGTACTTCGATGCCTGCATCGTCGAAGCGATTGTGTTGACTAGTTTAGGTCTGGCACGGGGCAGAGTGGACTGCATTGCACGCAGCGGAGCTTACTCGACTTAGGATGCTTGACTGGCATTCGTGGATCGAAGCCCGTCAGCAGACCATCTGAACAAGCTTCGCTTGGCACGTAGCCAGTCTTTAGTGGGCTCTGACCTGAGCATCGTCGCGTTTCCGAATTCCTCCTGTACACATCACACATTCAAGATAACCAGATCCGGACACCGTTCTTGTATATTGGGCTGTTTCTGATGATGGTGATGTTTGTAACATAGGAAATGCTATATGGATCGTGCGTGCCGACAGTTCTCCAGGTTCATCTCCTTCCTGTCCAACTCTGTCCCACGAGATTCCTCTCCTCAGCGAGCCCACGCCTGGCCTGTACGCAGCTATGTATTTGACTGGTGGTCCGAGGACCATGTGCGAGCGTAACAGGACAGCTTCTGCAATCCCTGTGGGTGTCCCTGTCATCGGGAAATCTTGCAGTACTGCAGCAATCTAAGGTGCCAGAACCTGCACACACGCCATCGACTTCCCGATAAACACTTCTAGACCAACGCCTGTTGATTCTGTGCAGGGCGCGGGGTAAGGTCCAGAAGTGAGTGAGAGGCAAAGCAATTCAGTATTTCTGATGGTTTGTCATCCCAAAACCCCGAACCGCAAACCGTGATGCAGTGTAGAAACCTTGAACCCGGAACTCTCTAGCACATTTTGGCCTTCGTCCGGAGTCTCTCGTTTTGCAGGGATCCGTTCCGGCTTCTCTGGACGAAGCCGCGCTGTATCCGATGGGCCCGGGGCTTGCTCTCAGTGTTTCATGGATCGGTCGAAGACTCGAGGGTGTCGGCTTAGGATTCAGTCTAAGAGAAAGGATAGGGGTTCAGGATTTCTGAGTTCTGCTCCCGGGGTGCTAAATTCTGAGCTTCTGAGGCCTGGAGAGCCGCTTTGCCTATCTCTTCGACTCGCCGCTCCCTGGCTGGAATTTCCACCCGGATGCAGGGCCAATCCGCCTGACTCCGTGGGCTGTTTCTGGTACCTGTGTCCGGCGACCACGTAAGAGCCTTGTTGTGCATCGATCTCTAATGCCAGTGACCTTCGCTGAGGACGCGAAGCCATGTCACGACGGCCCTTGCCTCGCAGGCGAGAGGGGGCCCATTGAGCCTTGAGTCCGACCGGAGACCCTTGGAGCGTGCAAGTCGCAGGCGACTGCCGAGGACGATGCGGAGCGTCTCAGAGCACAGTGGGAGGCACATGCTGGAGGGATCCCGACACCCGCGTTCAGCATCTGTGGTTGAAGGACAAGGCCGATTTACACAAGTTTAGTATTGCTCTATTCCCACCGACTTGGGACCATGTTTGTGGTCTTCGGTTTTTGTAGCTGCATGTCGTATCCTTGACATGGATGGCGCGTTCGCCACCCGAGACATCGCTTGCACCAGCTTCGTCTCGGGAGTCATGACCTCAAGGGAGGATTGTCTGATATCCTGAACTAAACGCCTCTTCCCGACTGCGACCTTTATGTTGGACTCTGCGATCGGTGACGCTGAGCTGCAACACCTACTTGTTTTTGATGCGTTGGAGGATGATGACCTTGTCCAGTGGCAGAACCTCACAGAGGCTGCCCCTGTGAAGGGACTTCCGAGATTCAGCCTTGAGAGGTGCACCTTTTGGGGGATCTGTCGGTGTTCAGAATGTAGCTGCAGTTCTGATCACTCCAGGGCTGAGAGGTGGACTCTGGGGAATGCCAGCCACATCAATCCAGAAACCATCTCTTGGAATGGACTTGCACCCGTTTTCATGTAATGCCACGGGCACCGGCACCATCGACCATACATGGCACAAGTCGAACATCTCGAGCTCCTGACAGAACTACACGCCCAATTCTAGCTTTTTCTGCTTCAATTTTAAAGCATTGCGAGAACTGCAAAAAACCACAACAAAAAGGGCCCAAGGCCCAAGAAAGGCCCGGGGGGCGGGGGGGGGTGGGGGGGGGCAATCTGCAAAGAGCCTCCTGCGAGGCCTTGGAGCGCTCCGAGGCCGAGACGGAGATGTGGCGCTGCAAGGCTGTGGCGGAGCGGAGGGGACTTTGAGGGGTTTTAGGATTTTGGACAAAGGTCCAGGGAGAGCTCGGGGGTTCTGCGGGCTGAGGGTTCTAGAGTTTCGGGCTTTTTAAGCTTTCGGGTCTGGGCTTAGGGTTTGCCGGGGCGTGAGGGGTTTCAGAAGAGGGTAGCTTGGTGCGGTCCTGATATTACCTGGGGTGCTTTTTGAGGCCACGGCTTTCTATTTCGGGCTCAGTGCTTCCGGTACAGATGCCCAAGTTGGAAGAGCACCTTGCCTAGGGCGTGATGTGCTTCTGCGTAAAGCCTGGCGTTCCGAGTCTACGATTGTAGGCCTTGGGGACTTCGGGGTTCTAGGTTTAGTGTGAAGTGCTCTGCTTTTGGTTTGAACTGACCGTGAGAGTTGCATGTTGCCGGCTTGCCGGCTTGCGTGAGGCTTGCCTGGAAGTCAGGCATGCTGCCTAGCGACCAACAGCCAAGAAGCCAAAGTTTGCTCTTCCGGGCAGGTGATTTCAATACTGGGGAGGCTTATGTAACTCTTTTCTCGGCATCCTAAGCCTTCTAAGCCTTTCTGCGCAGAGGCGGCAGAACTTGAAGATCTCCTCAACATGCAGCGCTTCAGCCTTAGCTTTCTGATCAGAGTTGCTGCTGTTTCCACAGCCTGGTTAGAGGTTTGGGAAGTAGTTCTCAGATGCGCGCGCAAGTTGAGTTCCCACCCAAGGTCAGATCTCGGAGGAGGCCCTGAAGGGAGCGGGAGCTTCAGACTCTCCTGAACGCATGCTTGACCGCTGAAGCATCGAGGAATGTCCAGGGTGTAGGTCTTCACGGGTTCAGTTGTCGTGGAAGCTTTGGCCAAGACCGACAAGCTTTTTCCGGACCCCAAGGTTAGCCTGTTCGCAGCTGCATCGAAACTTTCAGAGCTTCGGTGCTCATCTGCCTGAAGAGGCCTCGTCGGAGCGGGTCGGCGCGGTGTCGAACGTGTCGTCTCCCGAGGCCGTATGTAGAAGGGGTTAGATCGGGGGGGGATGCTGAGATGCCGAGTCGGACCGAGTCCAAGCGGCTTGGTGACCCCAAAGAACTCGCGCCCACGGATCTCCCTTTGCCACGCCAGGCGGATCGTGCACCTGAACGGCGGCGTGTGGAGCTCATGCTTCGTCGTTTTTGAGAATTCACGGTTCACCATAAATGGGCTTGGTCCAAGTGGATTTCTAGTCATTGGCAATGTTGAGAGTGAAGGTAGATAGTGAGCACCGGCATCTAGCACAGTAGCTCTTTCTGACCTGGTCTAGAGCCTACACATGATCCCGTGCCCGAACCCCCCAGAGAATTTTGCTGGTATGTAGGACCCCTGATGTAGCATTCTCAGCCAAGATTCCTCCACAGTCTAAGGGCCGCAGACGACGGAGAATCCCTGCCTAAACCCTAAACCCGAAACCCTAAACCCTAAACCCTAAACCCTAAACCCTAAAAGCCCTAAACCCTAAACCCCAAAAAACCCTCAACCCTAAACCCCTGCCCGACATTCGCAGCTCTCTTCGGCTCGAGTTTGCGCAGTCAGCGAAAGACTGTGACGAGCGCAGACGCCGCTGACCTTGTGCACAGCCCAGAGCATTCCATTCTGGAGCTTTCTCGTTCAGATGTTGCAGTTTTGCTACCGATGGTGCTTTCGGCAAGGACTTTGGCAGGAGAGTATATGCAATCTGTGCTGAAGTCTTTGCGACGCGTCTGCTAGGGCTGATGAAGGGTCTACATGAGCCTACATGCACAAAAGACCCCAGCCTGACTGCCGGGCTCAGGTGTTATGGGTTGCTTGCAGGCCTCTGGACATCAAGTGGAAAAGACACCGCGACAAGACATGCCTTCAGGTGGGCCTTGCTTTTCAAGCTGCCCGGAGTCTCGTGGGTACTGCTTTCATCTTTTTGATAATTGCTTCTTTGTCTGGCTTCGCGAATTGTCCTGTGAAGACTGCCGCACCTGACGGATGGAGTTGCGCTGGATGCAGGGCCTCGCAGGGTGATGCAGTCTTCGGCAGCAGTAGTTCCATCAGGGGCGAAACACGGGCGCGGAGGTCGAGTTTTAAGATGCTTCAGAGAGACAGCATGCTTCCCGGTGCTTCCGGCGTAGCTTTAAAGATCTCACGACTATGTGTGTGAAAGGAGGTGATGTAATCCTTTGCAAAGCAGTAGCAGTAGAAGAATGTCTTAACCAAGCTTCCGTCATTTTGTTATTGCAGCTATCTGAGTCACTGACCATGTCGATGTCGTGCCCCTGGAAACTGCCACGGTGGCAAAGCCCAATGTACGGTGACGAGGGTTGGGGTATGGATTCAAGAGGTGGGTGTCGCATATCGGCTGTCGCGACGACAGCCGGGTGTGCTCTCAGATGTGTTGCAGAGTGCGCCATTGCAGAGTTTGCAAGCTGAACCTACTTAGCTTAACTCTTCCATGTCCAGACCTGCAAGTTCTTCTACGAAGAAGAGCTTCCGGATCACGTTCAATCCAGATTGCAGACGCTCGCAACTCCAAACTAACGGACAAAGACAGAGCTCGGCCCGAGTCGCAGCAGCCCCAAACCAGGTGGAGCATCATCTCCCCCCAAGTACGGTGGTCGCGATGCCGATCCGGACAAGCCCATCGTGATGGGGAAGCTCCCTGGTTTTTCAGGAAATACATCGTAGGTTTTGGATCTAATCGGCCGAGGTAAGGCAGACAGAAACCGAAGGCGGCGATGAAGGTTTTGGTAGACCTGGCCATGTCAGTAGCTGAAGTGCGCTAACATCCTTGCTTACTTGCGAACTTCAAGGGTTTGGCGCACCTTTATCCCTAAGCAAGGCCTGAAGCTTGCAGCGATTGGCCCAGCGAAGGTACAAGATGAGCATGAACAAATCAGATCTCCTGGGAGAGGGATCCTCTTCCATATGCCGCAAGGCACGTCTGGAGACACAACCAGCTAACTCTTGGGCCTCCCCCAAAGCCCACCCTCCAAGAGTGCAAGTGGTAGGGACGAGGCTTTAGCGGGGCTTTAGCGGGTCTTCAGCGGGCATTCCGAGGACCAGATTTGCACCAGGTCGGCCTTCTGGCAGTAGTGCGGCAGTGTTAGTCTCAGCAATTTACCACTCTGAATGCCTACTTTGGGCCCTCTGACTTTCCTGGAAAAACTGAAGACTTCCGAAGTCACGTCACCGGGCTGCAAGGGCGTCGACATGGAGACGGGCCAGGTGCCTTGAACAAAGCGCACAGAGTCGGTACGTCTATGATGCGCTGTTTAGGGGGTCGACAGCGGTGCTGTGTGGAGGACGTTCGAGACTTCAAGTTAGGTCTTGCAGGAGCATGCTGCTTTGGTCGACTTCCCAACATGTCCAGGGAACAACTCCGGGCCACGCAGCTCAGGAAGTGGCAATCAAAGTCTACAAGCTTGCCACGAAATCGGTGAACAGCTCCGAGGCCTGGGTAATTGGGGGCGTTGTCCCAGTTCTGAAACCTGAAGCCCCTGGGCCTCAAACTGAGCTGAAGATTCCCTTACTGGCTACCCTGAAGTGCAGACGAATTCATCGAGTTTCTGCATGGAGGAGATCCGCCTCCAGAAGTTCAAGCGCCAGATCCAAGTGCTGAAGATGACCTGCCCTCAGCTCTCGGGAGGGCCTCTAGAGAGACCAGACGACCAGGATTCGATGCCTGCAGGCTCATCCCTGGAGTGGGATGTCAGGTGTAAGAACTATTCTTTTAGAGCTGAGATGGATGTAGGCTGTTGATGGATCTTGCGGCCTTCCGCTTTAGGATGCCTGCTGCCTCCAGGCGAAAAGTTCGGATTATCGATCCTAGGCGCCATTTCTTCCAGCCCCCTAGTCTTTCATTATCCGTTCTTTTCTTACAGCGCAGCCTCGCTTTGAGTGCCCTCCATGAGCTCCGAATTCTCAAACACCGAAACCATGTCAGTGCACCTGGCAATGCGAAAACCACGCATTGCGCGGATTGCCAGGCTCCAGGAAGCCTTCGTGGTGCCCAAGGCATCCAGTCATGTGGCTTTTGCCGTCGAGTTGGGGTAAAGCTTGAAGTTCAGCATACAGTTTTCGGGCCGATCATTCGGTTCACAGTTGTTGTCGCAGTTTAGGGTCCGATTTCATGGCTGCGGTCCGGCTTCTTTTTAGATTACAGGTATCCAGGAATGTGTGCTGCCATGGGCTCGACCAAACTGCTGCCCTTGCAGTTGCCGACAGGATCAGACACTCTGGCATCCTGATCTTGCGAAAGCGACACCGTCCAAGCTCTTCATGATGCTGTTGGACTACTCGAAGGTGCCCTCCGTTTGGTGGACTGCAGAGATGAAGGGTCGTTTCGGTCCTTGCCGCTTTGTGTCGGCAAGTGAAAGTGTCGGGCGTGTGGGGTCTGTTTGGCTCGATGTCGAAAGCGACGTAACGAACTGAAATGCCCAAAACATGCTGCCAGGACGACAAGGGCGAGCCCTCCCCAGATCCCACAGACGGCGTGATGTACGTCATCACAGAGGTTGCGCAGTACAGCTTGAAGGACCAGAACTGTCCTCATGGGCGAAGAACTTTGGAATGCGGTGGCTGCGAATTACGAAGTTCAAGGTTGAAGCCAGGACTTGGACTTCGGCCGTTTGTGACCACTCGAAGGTTGACCCCGTTGTGGGCTGAAGCTGTTAGCATGGCATCACTTGGTCCCCCGGCTTCTTGTAGCTTTTGAAGCTTTGTACGTAATGACCAGTGCGATTGGAATGCCACATATCATAAGTATCTCCAACAAGCTTCCCCAAAGCCTTCTTACCAAGCTCGAGGCTTGCATGTCTCACACGCAGGTGTCCTGGCATGATAGCAGCCTGCAGAAGCCTCCCAATACTTCTTTCCCTGGAACGCGCGCAATAGCTGAATGCCGAATAGTTCTCACGCGGAGCCTTCCTCGCGGCTATGTCGTGGGCCTCGCTTGGCTTGCTTCTGGTGGGCCTGCCGGTTTGCCGCGATGCTTGCTGACAGCCACGCTTCTGGGCTGAATGCTTGGGTAGGTGCTTTGGGCTTTGGCTTTCGTCTGGGGTCATTGCTCGAGCGTCATCAGTCAGAAATCCCGGCTTGCAAGGCAGGCTCTTGAACTGTGATGCAGCCCCATCCCGGGTTCGTTCAGATGGGTAGTCCCCCCGTGGACCGCCGACAGAGGCCTCGAGTCCTGTTGCCGCCAGATTCCGGAAATTCTCTCGTCTCGTTAAGGGCAGCTGGTGAGTAAGGGTGCCACTCCTCTTCATAAACATGACGATGTGACGTCGTATGCGACAAAGACATTCCCTCCTGTCGTAAGGATCGGAGCAATGATCCGACCGGCTTACCGTGCGCGCAAGAAGAAGGACAATGCGGTTCCCCACCCTCGAAACAGAAGTCCCCTTCCCTCAGTTTCTTCACCGCTAGCAGCTAGAGTAAGACCGAGGACCCAGAAAGCTTTCTCCAGGTTCTCTTCCGAGGGAAGCTTGACGTCCTTCCGGCTTTGGATGTTGGGGGTCGAGAAAGCTCGGGCTCTGTCTCGGAGAGCCTGCCGCTGGGAGGCGCTCGCACAGGATGACCCGAAGCGCTTCGCACCTTAGAGGCGGCTAAATGCTGGTGAACCCGGTGAGTCCACACAAGGCAGACCTCGTCAATGCTTTGCTTTCTGAGACCTCGCATGTCGGGTGCAAGAGCTCAGGTATCCATTTTTCGTGAGCTGCGCTTCAAGCAAGCATGGACGGATGCGCTCGACGCACGGCCTTTCGAGTTGCGGTACACGCACATGAGCTTCAAGAATGCGGAATGGTTCCTGGATGATGGATTTGAGTCGAGCATTCGCATGAGCTGAGGATGTCCTCTCAAGCATGCGGAGCCTGCGTGTCGAGATGAACATTATCTGCATCTCGGCTTGGGATGGAAGCTGCCGCGCGCATGAAGAATGAAGCCTATGAATACCTGAAATGGCGGTGTGCATTTCGGTTTACCGCTTGATCCAGGTTTCCGACATGTTGTGGAGCTTCGAAAGTCCCAAACCAAAGCGCACCCAAGGCCTCCAAGCCGACCTCACCACTGACGGCTTCTACACACTAGAAACCCCTCCTCCACCCAAACCCAAAACACCAAAGCCCAAGCCCGAAGCTTTGACCTCGAACCCCAAAGGCCCCAAAGCCCTACGCCTCAAAGCCCCAAAAGGTTTCGGAGCAGCTCTGGGCGTGTGTGAAAGAGCCGGCAGGTGCCGGAGGGCAGCGGAGCGCGAGTTTTAGGCTTTGAGGGTTTGGGGCTCAGGGGGTTCAGGGTGTATCGGTTCACGTTTCTGGGGCTTAGCAGTTTAGTGTTAAGGGGTTAAGGCTGTAGGCGCTATGTATTTTGTGTTGCTGTTGAGGCTGTTGGAAGGCTGAGGGCTCAGGGGAGGGATGCTCTGTGCAGCCTTGGTTTGAACTCCACTTAGGGTTGGTGTCCAGTATGGTTCCCCTACAGGTGTGGGAATGAGCCAGTGGCAAGGTATGTAAGGAGAACGAGGAGCGAATCCAATGATAATGGACTCAGACGAAGTCATCAGTCGCAAGCACTGTGAGATCACCGGGATCAAGACTTAGTGCCTAGTCGAGATCCCAAGCCGATAGCATTCGGAGCACCCCAACTCAGTTTCGAGACCCGAACTGCTACACCCCAACTGGTTCTTAGCCTTTGGACCCCAGCATTCTATGGCTACTTTGGGCTTTGAAGGTGGTTGGACTCCGTGGAAGTTCTCCGCACGGTGTCCACTCGTGCTGTGGAGACGTGCCTTGTCCAATGGCCTTGAACCCTCGAATCGCAACATGCTTTGGACCTTTAGGCTTTTCAAACTAGAGACTGGATGAGTATCTTGAGACTTCCGAGCTAGCCTGCGCGGAGATGGGCATCTGTGGTTCAGGCGCTTCGTGTTGGATGGAATGATCAGGTCAGGCGAGGTGAGGTAGGATACATTTTTATTATGGTTTGGGTTTTAAGGCTTAGGTTTTAGGGTTTGGAGATTCGCAGGGTTCAGGTTTACGGTTTGGGGATTGGGGGTTTGGGTTACACCGTACATGTATGTGTGGTAACGTGCGCATACACATGTTAGCTTTATGGCTGCATGTATGGACCCAATGCGGTGTTCTACGGCTAAGCAGGATAGGCAGGCTCGGGGTCGGTGCCCTGCACACATGGGCAGGGTGGGCCATGGGCCTATGTTGTCGTGCCGTGGCTGTAGCCGGGTGCGGCTTCCGATCACTTCCACGCCAGCCCCGAGCATGCGAAGGGTAGAGAAGGCAGGATCGGGGTACTGCAGGGTTGGGAGTGTGGGTGGGGCAGTGCAGAGCAAGGCAGGGCAGATACGCGCAAGTGCCGTCCCTGTGAGATTTGTTGGGAGACTTTTTGGAAAAACAGGGCGGCTGCCATGATGACTATCTTAGTGTACAGTGATCTTAGTGCTCGATGTTGGGGATTGCCTGATCCACCCCAAGGGGCGCAAGAGATCCGGATGACGCTGCAGCGTACCCTATGCGGGCATTTGTGCAGGGAATGTACATGACATTTACATATACATACAGCCATAACATATCATATCATATCATATCATAAAAAACATAATGCAACACAATATGACGTGACACAGCATTTCAGAACATAGCATAGCATGGCAGAGCAGAGCATAGCACAGCACAGCACAACACAACATATCATACCACGACATAGCATAGCATGGCATAGCATGGCATTTTACAGCAAATCAGAACATAACATAGCATAGCATCGCATAGCACATCATAGCATAGCATAGCACGTCATAGCATAACACAGCATAACATAACATAGCATAGCACACACAACACACATACATTTGTGCAAATATACATGAACATTAGCAAGTACATAAGCAGACGCACATGTATGTACATATTTTGCATATAGTCAAACACTAGGTGTCATTTGTATTTTTTACAAGTGTGATTCGTGTGTTTCGGAAAGCGGTTCAGGGATTTCTCCAATGGCGGCGTTTTCGGTAGTTCCAGGCTTTTTCCCGAAAGCATCGCGAAGGGTTCTTCCGTGCGGAGCCCCGCAGAGAAAATACATAGAGAATACATGGGGTCAAGTACACTTGACTTTACCACACTTGACTCTACGACACTTAGCTTTACCACACGT